TCTCAGAGTTTTTAGAACAAATGCAGAGTATTTGTCACATTGGAAATCGTTCATGATCAGACTTCAGAGTCCCTATGATACTGATAATAGACATTGTGAAGTACCCGCGATGACAATGAGATGTGGTCGGCCAAATCTTCTATCGGCTAGTCCATAGATGCAGCCGGACCGCCTGAGTTTAGTGGCCTGTTGCGCGTTCGTCGCGGCGCCGGGGTTATGGCCGGCCAGCCGGCAGTAGCGACGAGCAGCAGGGTTTCCTCACCACGTCTGGCAAACTGAGGCAATATAGCAATGAAAGCGTGTCGTCATTTAGGCAGATATTGTGCGACGACGCGAGGTCGGCGCTCTGAGTAGCAAGATGCTATTGCAAATTGCAGTGACTAAGGGCGTGTTTGGGACTGCTCCGCTCCACGTTTTTCAGCTCCGCTCCACATTTTTTAGCCAAACGGTTTCAGCTCCACGCACTCTGCTCCAGGAAAAAGGGTGGAGTTGTGAGAGCACCTAAAGAGGTACTCCACAAACTCCAGTTTTTTGTGGAGCTGCTCTACGATGGAGTTTGTGGAGCAGTCCCAAACACCCCCTAAGATTCATGGCATATCTGAGAGATTTGCACTTATAATTAAGTACCTGGGCAATGTCGCCGATGGTCACATGGATCTCGCCGTCGTTCAGACCCAGCTCACCAGGCACCGCGGCTTCCTCCTCCCCTCCGCGAAGGGTGTGGGCACGGGCGATCGGCGGCGCCGCGCCATGACATACGGGCACTGCGGCTTCCTCCTCCCCTCCGCGAAGGGCGTGGGCGCGTACGGGCACCGTGGCTTCCTCCTCCTCTTCACTAAGGGTGTGGGCGTGGGCGATCGGAATGTTTCAACGTCGAACGGCGCGACGGTAGCCCGGAAGGTTTTGAACGCATTTTTTTATTCGGTAATGATTGGCTTCGAGCGTTAAATCGCAGTCGCGGCGGGTCGCGACGTATTGTTGAAGGCATGCTATTATCTAAAATATCAAGAAGGGTGGTCTTGGTATACCAGTCATGTATGAATAGGTCCCCTGTATATTTTATATGCTACATCTATACTATAATTTGTCATTAAAAATATATTAGGTAGTTAACAGCTATATTGTTTGAATAGGTCCCCTGTATATTTTATCATAACTTCAGAAAATTAAAAAAGATTCACAACCTATGACAAAAACATGAAAATGATGAAATATGGTAATCCTCTCTGTTTTTAGCTAGAACTAAAATATTATAAGAACATGTGAACTGTAGGCATATAGTTGGCACTTAGTTTACAACAAAAAACATTTTTTTATAGGTTCCTAACATATCTACAGCTCCATCACAAGAATCATTTTCAAAATAAAATTTTAACATATAACATCCATTTACCAAACTCAGAGATCAAAAACCTGACTGCTATCATAATTTCTAAGTACAGAAGACATATGTCACCAAAGAAACTCCGGGAAAGAAAGAGGAATACTTACAATGTTTAATGAAATGCTTGTGAGACATACTCTCAAGCAGTTGCTTCAAGGCTTTATTTTCTAAGTCTAACATGATATTTTGTTGTCCGAGAAAATCCATTTAAGCGGTTACTTCTATCCCATATGTCTGCAATCATAAAAATTTAAGAATTATATAGGATGTTTAAGGTTTCTAACTCATGCAACAAACGACTAATATGGTTGGTTTCGGAAAAAAAGATTACCTGTAAGGGCTGAACTCTTCTCTCGAGCTATGCAATATACTGGAGCAGGTCGTCCAGCCATGGCGGCGTCTTGGGCTCGTTGAGAAGGTCGTCCGGCGACGACGGCTACTCGTCGGCGAGGAAGCTCTCGGACGACGTGCGCTGGTAGCTGTGCCGGTGGTGCGCGTCTCACGGCCGCGCGATCGGGCTGAGCTCGGCGTGTGGCGCTGGCACAGGAACATGCTCCGTGGCAAAGCAACGCCTGCTTCTGCAGCCTGCCGTTCTCCATGATGCCATTGGTGTGCTCACCCAATCTGGACAGAGAAATTGTGATAGAAAATGGTGAGAAAAAAATCCCCAAGATTTGAGAAACCGTAGCAATTAAACTACCTCTCCGAAAAGCAAAAATTTAGGCGGGTTTGTTGCGGTCCCAGCCACAGATCTCGTCTAGGAACCACAACATGTGCAAAAAATCGAAAACTTACGGCAAATTCGCATCAAGGACCTTCTCTTCCTCCTCGTCGCGCTCCACTCCCTTCCATGTCGTAACGCCCTACGGCTGCGCCGCTCCGACGCCGGTGGTTGCTCATCGACAGCCCAGTCGAGCCAGCACTTCGCGTAGGGCGCCCAGGTCCTCGCCCGCGGCCGCCGCGGCCCCCAAGACCCTGGCGGGCTCGCATCGGGAGAGAGGGAGACAGATATGCGCGCGGGGCGCGGGTAAAGGGCTAGCAGCCGCCGGGGCCTGTCCGCGTCGGAGGGCGGCCACCGCGGGAGCCTGGCACCGCCGCCACCGCGTGCAACCCTAGAGCCCCGTAGCCAGGCGCCGTAGCCTGTCCGCGCGTGCCTTATGTTTTTTTCGTAAAAAAAGGAATAAGATCGGGGGAAGTGGGAATCGAACGTGGCGTTTCATTTTTTCGGTGTTCCCAGGCTTCGATCTCTAGTCGCGACGTGCGTGGGGCGCGTTGAAGCCTACGTGCGTGGGATGGAGAGCGCGGGGTGGGAAGCTCGGGGTGAGAAGCCTAGCTTCCCACATCGAATCGCGGCGATCCGATTTGTCTAGGTGTTTTATTAGCCGTTGATTTTAATGGAGACGAATTCCTGTGTATATTTTTCTGGGTGCATAATGGTTGGAGGCTCTCAGCGGGGAACTTTTTCCTGGGAGACCTAGTGTAATTTTGATTGATCCATTATAGTAGAGATAAAAAACATGATATTAGTGGAAACCCTTACTGTATATAGTATTCTAGCTGCAGCCCATGATTTTGGAGATTGTGACTAATAAGTAATAACAAGTAAATTGGTACAACATTGGACCGACTCCATTCTAAAGCAATCAAGCCTTGCTCTTGTACTAACCTAATTAGAAAAAATCATAAAATCGTTTGAGCAACCATAATTCATTAAAAAGGTGTAAGATCCGATTAAAACACCTTTTAGAATATAAAGTTAAGGAAAAATAATCAAGTAATCAACTGAATCAGCGCTAGAGGGAAAAGCTCGTGCCATGGGACATACCTTCCATGCTAGAATCACTTGAGGATGCTAGGTGCTTGTGCTCTCATCTAGATCACACCTCTTCACCGTTAGGAGCAATGAAACATTAGCATCTGACGCCATCAAATTGTCTGCCCAGAAATGTTGCACATTTTCAGAATATGTACTATAAATTGCATTATATATAAAGGTGTTCCATATATCAACAACTCATCTGCATCACCGCCAAACCATTTTTCGTAAAGCATATTCTGAGAAAAAAATTCTGCTCAGAGAACAAAGGAAGCATAGCAGCCTGACCTCCCGTTTTGCACTTCAAGAACAAAAATCTACTATGAAACACTCCCGTAACAACAAGCAGGAATCGTCCCCATCTATGTGTTTGAGTGCTCGGTTTCACACAACAGGAAGGGAAGAGAAAAGATTGGCACACCTGGTGGTGCTCCTCGTAGGACGGGAGGAGATTCGAAGTGAGGCAGGAGCCCAGGATTTGGCAGCACAGCAGGACCGATGAAGACACGAGCCGGATCAGGGGGAGGGACGCGCGGGTGCCCCAGCGGCTTTCGCTGCCACGGGTCTTCATCGCCGGTGAAGGGCCCCGATGAAGTTCTGGCAACGCGGATACGGGTGAGCCGGATACAGGTGGAGGGTCACGCGCGCGCGCCCTGCCGTCTTTCGCTGTCGCCCGCCCGGCCTCCACCATCACGAGCAACCTGGGCACCTAGCAAACGCAAGATGGCGGCGGGGCTCGACATTGGCGTAAGGGGCCACACGGACGCTGCGCCGCCAGGACGTCGCGCGGCGTCCGACGTCGGGATGCCATGCCGGCTCCGCTGCCGGGAAGGTGGCCTCGGGGCGTGCGCGGGCAGCGGCGGGCGAGTGGTGCGCAGGGCGGTCGCGGGCGGCGATGGCGCGCTCGTAGATGCCGGTGAGGGTGACGATGGGGGCACGCTCCCAGTTCTTTCCTTCCTTTTGGCAAGCGAGGGGCGCGAGGGTTCGGGTCTGTGGGATCACATGAGACAGACAAGCGAGGTTTCTTTCCCTTCTTTTTCAAGCGAGGGGCGTACACACGAGGGGGTGGAGGATCGCATGAGACAGAACGACAGAACCTTGTTGAATGTCGCACTAAAAAGTGTCCATGCTTTGTTCTTTTTAGTTGTACTAGGACTGTGCCCGTGCGTTACAACGAAAAAATCACGGCATTGCCTTTCTAATAATGGTCTAATTTTTTTTTTCGTCCTCAATCAGTCAATCACGACATTGCCTTTCATATTAATTTTTTTCCCTCCTCAAGCACGACATTGCCTTCCATTCTGGGTTTCTTTTCTTTAATTGCGTTGGTAGAGAAGCGATTATATGGAAAAAAAAATTTATGCTGCCGAGTGAACTTATGTTGAAAGGTGTTTGGTTCTACCAAATAGACGACAATCCATATCCATATGTTTTAGTTAATACATGAGATAGAGACAGAGATAGAAGATGGAGAAGACTTCCTGTCGACCGGCCGTGCGTTATTCGCTCGGCACGGCCTGCACCTAGCCCAGCCGCAGGCCGCCTCCCCAACCTCACGCACGCACACGCTCGTCTTCATCCGCGCGTGCGTATGTGCCATAGCCGCGGCTCCTCTCTCTCCTCTCCCTCCCTCTCTCTTCCCGGTGACCACCTCCCCAACTCCGGCGAGGGCGCGGATCCGTCTGCGGCACGGACTCTTCTCTCCCTCCCTCTTGCTATCTGTGCCTCAGATCTGCACCATCCTGATCTCGTCTCTCCGCGAACCGGCAACCCTCAGATCCGCCAGCTCGGCGTGGCGCCATGGCCCCCGCCGCGCTCCTCCCGCTCGCCCCTTTGCCGCATCACCCGAGCCCACCACGGCGACCTCTGTGCCGCTGCGGGGCCTCCCGCCGCGGCTTCACCGTCCGCACCACCATCGCTATTGCCTCGGCCTCGGCCTCCGCCCCCACCGCGGGCGCGGAGGCGACGTCCCCATCTCCTCCACCCTCGCCGCCAACGCAAACGCCGTCCTTTAAACCGGGATCCCCGGTGCTGGGCGGCATCGCGAACACGAGGTCCTGGTCGTAGTACTACTGCAGCGGCTTCTCCATCCGCGTGCCTCCGGCCTTCGACGACATCCACGAGCCTGAGGTAATTAGCAACTTGGACTGTTTCTTCTCTCCTACGTTCCATCTTCCTCCTGCGTGTTTGGTTTCAAATTGGTGAATGCTGACTCCTTCAGTCCTTCCGCGTCTCAGGACTACAACGCCGGGATGACATACTACGGCGACAAGGCCAAGCCCCGGGCGTACGCGGCCCGCTTCGCGTCTCCAGATAGGTAGGTAGGTAGGTAGGTAAGGCCTCGCTCTACTCCATGAACTGCGGCTATTCCAGTTCTGTACATTTGTCTCAGTTTCACAAGGATGCTGTGGGAATGAATTTTGGTGGTGACGTGTTGCACATGCTAAATGCGGAGTGCTCTACTCCTTTGTTTGATGTAGGGGTGAGCTCATAAGTGTGGTGATTAAGCCGTCAAATCAGCTCGAGATCACATTCCTAGAGATTATAAGAGCTTTGCCATTTTAGTGTTTTTTCCAGACATCTGTAATGCCCCTTGAATTTATCTCAGGTTATTCTGTAAAGTTTGTTGTCATATTAACCCTTCTATATGTGTTCAAGGCCACATTGTTCTACATGTCGTTCTGACTAGCTGGGAGCTTGCTTGTCAGTTGTCCCCAATATATTGCCCATCTGGAATATCATGTGTTTTCTGTTTGTGCTACTGTGGTTCGGAGTCTTCATCAAATGGACACGGTTTTGCCTTTCTAGAGTTCAGTTCCGAGTTCTTGTATCATACAGATCCCTGATGACCAGAGATCATACCCAGGAATTGACATTTGTTATTTTAATGTACAAAATGTCTCCTCTTCCCATTTCTCTTGCTTGTAGAAAAATATAATATGATTACGGTGTTAGTCGCTGAATTCTCACTCTTGGTAGTAGGAGAATTCTTACTCTCATCGAGAGAGGATGACAATAGGAGTTGGAGCAATTTTCTTGTCTATTTCTTACTCAAATGCCATGCCAACCTGAGGGGTTGGGGTTACATATTTATAGGCTGCTAGCCAGCCAAGCATATGCCAAGATGCTAGTCTAAGATGCTAGTCTAAGATGCTAATATGCTGTCCTAGCTAAGATGCTGTCCTGTCCTAGCTAAGATGCTGTCCTCTAGTCTAAGATGCTGTCCTCTAGTCTAAGATGCTGCCCTAAAAGCAGAAAAACAGCCACAAGGACCATGTGAGCAGTACAGCCCCACAAAGACCACACATGAGACTTATCCATCATTCTCCCCTAAGTCTTTGTGTGTCGTCTTGTGGGAGAGTTGAACCATCCAGCCCCGGAGCGAGCTCAAGGAACTTGATCCTCCCAAGGGGCTTGGTGAAAGCGTGTCCGCAAGCTGGTCCTTGGTGTTGATGTAGCTTCGCCTTTGATGCTCCCTTCCTCCAAATGACCTCGGATGAAGTGGTACCTCACCCCGGATGTGCTTGCTGCGTTCGTGGAACACGGGGTTCTTTTGCGGGGCGAGCGGACTTGTTGTTCACCCCGAGCTCCACCGCTCTAGTGTGTCTCGCCGAGGAGATCACCAAGCAATCGAGCGAGCCAGCAGGCGCTGAGTGGAAGCGGTGGAGGCCGCTATGTACTCGGCCTCGCATGATGGGCCGAGGCCACCACCTGGCCGCTTGACCGACCGCCGCCTAACGAGGCACTTGCCGAGAAGAAGAGGATCCCGCTTCGTGCTCTTCTTTGGTGTCGATGTCGCCGCCGGCGTGGTCATTGTCGGCATTTATGCCCGACGAAGTGTGCCGCCTGTGGCACCTCGGGTAGTAGAGGCCGTGGTCGAGAGTCCCCGCAACATAGCGGATGATCCTCTTCACTGCTTGTGGTGCTCCGTCGTCGATCATTGCATGAACCGACTAACGAGCCGACGGAGAATGCCAAGTCCGTGCAGTGTGTGGGCGAGGTAGCGAAGGCTCCCCACAAGACAGCTGGTATCACAGCGTGGCGTCCACCTCCTCCGTCGTCAGGTTGTCGCTGCTCGCCTTGACCTCTCCTCCATCGGAGTGAGAGTGGGTTGCGATCGGTGAGCCCAGCTTAGCTCAACGACGCAGCGCTTGGCGAAGCGATCCGTCAAGTGTGATCCGGAGTCATTACGGTGCACCTCGATGCCTGTGTAGAAGAGAGAGGCCCTGGTCACTCATCGGAAGGTGGCCTTCATCTCTTCCTTGAATGCCGCCACCTCCGCATCCTTGGTGCCGGTGATCACCAAGTCGTCGACGAGACACCCACCACCGCCAGAGCGGTTCCTCCTCGCCCGTCGGTAGATGGTCGCCTCGTGCGGGCTTTGCTCAAGCCCATCCCTTTAGCGTGGAATCCAACTTGGCATTCCACGCCCTCGTCTCGCCGCAAGCCATAGAGGGGCTTTGCAAAGTGAGCACCACCTGCCCTCCTTGCCGGGGATCGCAAATCCGGTTGTGGGCCGGTGCACGAGACCTCCTCCTTCAAGTCGCCGTTTAGGAACGCCGACTTGACGTCCATGTGATGAACACGCCCGACCCTCACGGGCGGCTAAGCGAAGGAGTCGACGGACTCCATCCGGTGCGCACGGAGCAAAGGCGCGTCGAAGTCGACCCTCTCTGCCTGCACGAAACCTCGTGCCACCAAGCGAGCCTTGTGCTTGACGATGGCACCGGCTTCATCCTCTTTAGCTTGAACACCCACTTAAGGGTGATCGCGCGGTGACCACGAGGAAGGTCAAGCCAAGCTCCCGGTGCGGTTCTTCTCGACCGCATCCATCTCCAATCGCATCGCGGCGCCATGCCGCGTGTCTCTAAACCTCTGCACGCATCGAGGCTCGCCGTCGTCACACGCAAGGTGCAAAGCGCGCCTCCGGTCGTGAGGCACCGGTCCGGCTGACCTACCGGTCACCGCAAGAAGGTTCTCCATCGTCTGCGGTACCGCAATGGCTCGCCGTCGTGATGCGCTTCGATCGCGCTCCTCGTCGTGAGAGCGAATGGCGAAGCTCAACCGCCGGGTGTTTCGACACGAGCCGGAGTAGACGCGTGCGGAGAGGTGCCGATCGATCTTTGGAGTGCGTGGCGTTGCTTGGTTGTGGTGGAGTGGCGAAGAACTCATCGCTTGTTAGAGGTCCTGGCCGAGAAAGCGTGGTCTTTGTCGAGAGTAGCAGCAAAGGGTCGGCGGAGGCTCGGGGATCTGGGGTAGACGCGCCGCCAAGAAGAAGCCTACTCCCCAGCTCCCTCGAAGTGGACGTACTCGACAAGTGAAGTCGTCGTGACGTCGGGAGCCGAGCCATAAATCCACACCGCCTTGTCCTGACGCCCATCTCGCTTTTCGTCGAACACAACGCTGCGCTGCTGTGCGCACACGCTGTGTCTTGGTCGAGGATGCGGTAGGCCTTCGAGCCTCCGCGAAGCCGATGAACACTCCGAGTGCTCCGTGCTGCCGAGCTTGCTTTGATGTGGCTAAGCTCCTTGGCGAACGCGAGGCGTAGAAGACCCGCAGGGGAGACCGCCGGCTTGCGCCCATGCCAAGCCTCGACGGCGGCCCCGCTGCCGAGCGCTTTTGGTAGGCGAAAGCGGTTGAGGATGTAGACGGCCGTCACCACCGCCTCCCCGAGAGAAGGTGGCATCCCCCTGCGCTTGAGGAGGGCCGAGCCATCCCCACGTCTGGTTGCGCCCGCTCGACGACGACGCTCTGCTGCCGCTGGTCAGACGGTAGCGGAGTAGTGGCGTATTGAATGCCCTCGTCATTGCAATGACGACGCGAATTTAGCATTGTGAATTCGCCGCCGTTGTTGTGGGCAAGAAGACACGCTTCTTGCGCCGCGCTCGCCTCGCCGCATGACTACTTGCGCTACTGATGGCGTCATGACCTCTCCCCTTGCCGCCGAGGACCATCACCCACATGTAGCGGGAGAGGTCGCCGACGGCGGCAAAGCAGGAAGTAGCGTCGTTCTCCCGGTGTGGCCGGTGTCACCGGGCCACACAAGTCCCGTGCACAAGCTCGAGCCTCTCCTTGGCTCAAAGCTAGCCCATTGTGGAAGGGGAGTCGCCGCTTCGTCAACACGCAGACGTCGAGAGTCGCTCCACATGGTCGAGGCACGGCGGGCCTCGCGACCATCTCCGGGCACCGAGCCGCTTGAGGGCCTCGAAGTGAAGGTGCCCGGCGCTCGTGCCATCGCCACGCCTCGTCATCCCGACGAAGCGGCGAGACAGAGGGTTGTGCACTGCTGACGTTAAGGATGTAGAGTCGATTTGCGCTTCGGATACCTTGGCAAGAAGGCGGCGGCAGCGATCCCAAATCCTCATGACTCCATCCTCAACCACCACGCGCGAACCATTCTATCCATTGTCCCAAGTCGATGATGGATTCCTCAACGCGGGGATGTAGTAGACTCGTGAGGTACTGTGCTCACCGGACACAGCGGTGAAGATGGCGGAGCCGACGCCCTTGATCTCCACGCCGGAGGCATCCCCAAACTTGCGGAGCCTCTGGACGCTAGAGTCAAGCTCGGTGAAGAACTCCGTCGACCGGTCATGTGATGGGTGGCGGGTGTCGAGGCACCACCCGTTAGTCTTGTCGCTTCTTGAGCCGTCGCCGAGGAGGGCATGTGCTTTTGGCTCGTCAAGGTGGAGGAGAACCGCCGCTGCGGCCGGGTGCCGCCGAGGTAGCTCTCGATCGTTGGCATGTGCCATGAACAGAGCCGGTTCCTCCTCCAGGCGACGTCTGACGTGGGCTGGCAGCGTCGTGGTGGCAACGATCCTTGGCCCAATGGCCAAGTCGCGCGATAGTGGCGGTGTGTCGTCTCGGCTCGCCGGCTGGCGCGCCTGGCGCCTCATGGGCATCACCCTAAGACGTCCTCACGCCCACTGACTGGCGTCTCTGCGCGCTTTGCGCGGCTTGCCGCACGCTTGCCGGCCGCTGTCGCGGAAGAAGGCTCCCCTTCTCCGGTCACCCCGGGCGGCAAGCCATCGCTCCCAGTGAGAAGGAGCTTCCCGCCGATGGTGATGGGCCCGAGAGAGGATCGTGGCTCATCATTGTCGGCGACCTTGAGGCGACTATCGCCTCCTCGATCGACATCGTGGAGAGATCCAGCAGAGACTCGATCGAAGCGAGCCATCGCGCTGTACTTCTCGGGGACGCAGGCGGAAGAGCTTTTCGATAGCTCTCTCCTCGCCGTAAGTGTCGTCGCCGAATCGCACCATCTTCTACAACGAGTGTTGAGACGGAGAGCAAAGTCATCAACGCCCTCACCGGCTTGAAG